GTTTTCTTTGATTCCCTCCTAATTTAGATGGTATTATATCCATAGTGCAGGGATATCTATCACAGTCTTTTAAGGTAGCTGTTAAACCTTCTCTTGATCAAGATGACTTAATAGGTCATGGAAAATACCTGCCACCGAGTTGTGAGTTCAAAACCCATTCCAACAGACTGCCACTCTGGCTCTCTGAGCAAGACCCTTAACCCAACCCTGCTCTCCCGGCACTGTGCGATGGCAGCCAACTACTCCCCAAAGGGATGGGTTAAATGCAGAGAGTTCATTGTGTTGCTCAGTACTTGTTTTACTATAAATCACAGCGTAATGACAAAAGCTGGAAAAAAATATTCTCATATTTGCTCTGTAGGATCTCAGTGGCTCATATAATGCTGTCAGTCACTTACTGTTCAAGCAAGATGAATTGCTGTCAGGATTGTGAATTCATTCCTGAAAATGCATCTTGCCTGGATCCAGCAAATGCATTCGCCTCGATACACAAAAGTTTAGGACCAATGAACTGCAGTGACGTTTATGACTAAAAAGTGTCAACCAGAGGTGGAAGGCTGAAGCAAAACAAAGATGGCTGTAGCAGTTTTAGCTGGAATACCCTCTGTTTTGAAAAAGGACATAATTTTTGCCTTTGTGAATTGGAAGCTGTTTGCACGTTCTCCCCAAGCGGATTTAGTAAGAGTTTTATTTAGACTTAGACTCAACTTTATTAATCCCTTGGGATTACTTCTTCAGGGAAATTCTGGTTCCAGTAGCTTATATAGAGTACAAAGGGCAGAGTTAAAGCAAGATGCCATTAAAGATGAAAATACCGCAGACACTAAAAAAAAGTGTGTATATAAAACAAAAGACTATAAGAAAGTTGTAATGTCTTGGAATATGTTTCCCTTAGATATAAAAATATCTACACAGTAGAGAGCAAAGGAAAGACCACACAGTAGTTGACTTAGATAAATGCACTTTCACTGCAGAAACATACTGACCATATATATAAGTAAAAATTAGACAGACTTCACAGTATTTGGCCTTGTTTATTGCACTTGTACTGCAGAGATGTACTGACCTTATGAATAAATCATTCTTATCAGTTCATTAGTTATCAGTTAACTCAGCTAGTTGTGAAACTAATCAAGCTGCTACTCCTTCTGTGATTGGCTAAAAAGTCGACATGGGAGGCAGGCACCCAGTCAACTCATAGAATTGTACTGAATGTCATTTGGCAAACTTTCTACCGGAGCCTTTCCAGATCTATACATGTAGTTCAGTTTGAATTCTACATGGTGTCACTCTGGTTTATGCCAGGTTAATCAGTCACAGTACTGTACAAAAGAACTTGAATGTTCTATATGAGTAAATGGAGATTTGTTTTAATCTTTTCCAAACTCTTCTCTCGCTGAGACCACACTCTCTTCTCACCAGCTCACAAACAAGGCAGCACCGAAAATCTCCCCGTGTCTTAGCGGGGGAGTGTTTTATGTTATCTGGAAGGACGACTGCTGAAGACAGTACAGGGGATTGTAAAACTTAATCTAATAAAGCTAGACTTGGTTAACTCTGCACAAGGCCAGATGTGTCACTGCGGATTCGTTCTGCACATGCGCCATCAGCTCATTTGCACATGCGCATCCAGTTATACATCCAGGTTTTATTTTGTTAAAAAGATCTAAATTACGTTTTTTCCTCCCCAAAAATTGTAAGCATACTAAATATAATGTGTTTAAGGTCAATATTGTATTTTGTGAGAAAATAAATGCCTTACAATCCTTTCCATTTTACCACTCGTCTCTGCCCGATCTGACATGGGATCATACGCTACTTCCAGGAGCGAGCTTTTTCGGCTTTGGATTTAAACATAAATCTAGTCTTTTTGAATTTTATGTTTTCCGTTCGTGTTAAAATTATAGTATATAGCATGTAATCTAAACAAAGAAACAACTAAAATGCAGATAAACCTGGTTTAATTATATTTGGCCAGACTACTCTGAGCATGTCCAATGATGACGTCAGAGAAGCAGTTTAACAAAGAAAATGTAAAAAGCATCAAATTTGTCTCACAAAAGTCATAAAACATTTTTTAAAGATGTGTATTTGCATTCTTTAGAGAGTTAGGGATAGAAATAAGTAATTTTACTACCATAAGTGCATTATTTATGAGCACCCAGATGTATATCTGTTTCGCGCATGCGGAGGACGGATCGTGCTTCGGGGACGGATCCGGTAGTGACAAGATGCATTCCCACTGATCCCAAGCAATACACTCTTTGTACCCCTTCCATGCAAAATATATTGGATCACTGAATTCAAAATGGTGAAAAGTAGTTTCTTTCTTAAAGTTGTGAAAGCAATCATCCACCTACAGACAGAAACTCTCACCCTATATCACCTTCATATGGAGACAGACCCCTCTTCAGACAAAATCACACACACACACACACAAACAAACACCCCTTCTGACAATCATTAAACCCCTCGCTGATTTCATATTGTTGGGGCACAGGTTGCCTGAAGCCAATGTCATTCTACACCCTTATCTCAGTAAATAAGCTCCTCTGGTTCTGATTGCTTATTGCTGGTTTCTTCCATCACATTGCTCATGTAAAATCTTGTGTTCCTCTGTTGCTCTTGCTCTAACTTAATGTTATCCTTTGCATTAAAATTTCTATCCTTTTGATCATGAGCTTGCGTTTGCAGCTTGGTCCAATAGTAAACTGGAATAACATGACGGACATAAATAAACTTTTGAATGAGTTACATTAACTTTAATAAAGACACTTGGGGTTGTCTTCACATCCGTCCTTCTTGTATCAGTACTAACCTCATGCTGTAGAGGGAGGCCAGCGTCTATCCCAAACATTTTGCCAGCGACAGGACGCCTCCTGGATCTGCAGTTCATTACTCTGCTCACATCCATACAAACCGCTTATTATCTATTTGGATTGCTCAGTTATTCCAACCTCCATGTTCGTGAGCTTTATGGAGATCACAAAGCCCCATAAAGTAATATTAATCGAGAGAAAAAAACAATAAATAACATATACTTGTGTGCTTCTCCTTTTTCCCATGGGGGATTATAAATCAGTTTGTCACACTGCATTTCTCCTGCTTGTTAGGCTCATGATGAGCCAAAAGAACAAAGGTTAGAGGAAGTAAATTAAGCTTAGGGTTAAAGACATCAATGTCACTCTATAATAGCATAAATAAAATCAATGAGCATGTATGTCTGTGTGAGCTCAAACAGGGGCTCCCAGGGTGGGTGGTCTCTCTGTTCTGCAATGCTGGATGTGGACAGAGAAATGAAGCCATAAGTCTTTTCTGCTGACTTCCATGGTTATCCTGCTGGAGTCACACCAAGCCACCAGTAATATGTTTTCCTGGAGCCGGGAGCAGAACAGAGCAGAGGGCATCTAATGAACCAGAAATGTCTGCCCCCCACTTCATTTCAAATTGTGCCTCTAAATCTTTACGCCAGTCTGCATGTGGATGAAATGAGCAGGAAATAAGTGGCTTCATGGACCATTTATTATCCCCTCATCAGACCTAATATATCTACAACTTTTCTATTTAATTACAATGACCACATGTTTTTAGATTTTTTTTTTAAACCTGTCAACATGGTGATTTATGTGCTTGAAAGTTAGATAAATAAGCAGTCAACACCTTGTCAGAGCTGGTTCCTCCTGTGTATTCAGTCACTCTCTCATAAACAGCCAATTCCAACAGCTTACAATGAATATGAAACTTTAAGCTGGAAATAAGCAGTTTATTCTGATTGTTATTCACCCTGTAGCAACTTATTATTAGCTACGTATTTGCTATTTAGTATGTAGTCAAAGCAAGTCCTAAAATAACCTAAAATAATGTGAGTCTGGGTTCAGCTGCTCTTTTTTGCTGTTTCATTCAGCGCTCCGTGTTCCCATTGATTGCATTTACATCATTTTAAATACATGCAAAGCCAGAGCTTTAGCTACTTTGCATGTGCAACCTGGATAACATGTTTTTCAAACCAGGCACGATTTGGGAAATTCTTCCATTATTGACTGCTCCATGGACAGAACAATCAAAATTTTCCCGTGACAATACCTCACTAAAAAAGCTTTTAATGCAGAATAGAAAAGATTTTTTTTTTCTGTTTAAACCTGAAAGAAAAATCAAGTTGTTTATCCCTGGTATCCCTTGTTTTTATTTTCATACTTTAGCAAAAAAGCATGCAAAGATGCTGCAAGTGCTTAAAACGTTTTAATTTAATGACCTTATCGGTGAGGAGACCTGAACTATAAAGCTTCCTACCTTGAATTTTCAGCCACAGCCAGTCCATGCACATGTTGAAATGACCTCTTTGAGAAACAAAGAAGTAAAAAGAAATGTTTTCTGTACCAGATAAACTCTGTAGCGGACAAGGTATATCCTCACAGTCTGAGGATATACCTCAGCGTGGATAATTGTTGCATGGTTGAGTTGGCAACTTTTAACATTTAAAGTATTTTGAAATGAAGGTGGTGGAAGGCAAATTAAACTTAAAATATTCAATGTCAGAGTCTGCACTTATATGCAACAATGTCATTAGAACTTTTTTTTTCTGTTGAATTATTCATGCTAATAGGTGAATTATACAAGAAAGATAAAAAAAATATATATATTTCCTGGTTCTAGCTGCTGGTCCAAAAAAACCAACAATTTTCTGTCATGTATTGTATGGGGTGCTGTAGTTTCCTCCCAGAGCTCAAAAATATAACTGTTAGGTTAATTGATTTCTGACCTAAATTGTCCTTGGGTACAGTACAAGTGTGTGTTCCCCTTGCAGTACCTGTATTATAGCACTTTAATTTGACAGAACTCTACAAATAAAGTTTGATTTTATGATTGCCTACCTGTCCAGGATGTATCCCATTTCTTACCCAATGATGGCTTGAGATAGGAACTAACCTTTCAGGTAACTGTGCAAGGATAATGAGGTAAAGACGATGGAAAAGAATGGATGTATGCACAACTGCACAACACTGATTTAAAGAAATCTTTAATAAAAGACAAGTGCTATCACCCTTTTTGAGAAGACACAGACTAATAACAAGCATACCATGACAGAGTGTTCACAACATTATTCAAGCAAATCGCATACGTTGGAAAACATTCAAAACACACAGAGACTGCTTTCTATGACTGATTATCCTTCATAAACATCCTACTACAGATTTTTGGCTGTTGGTACAGTACGCTTTAGCACAGAAAGGGATGTATGATGCATACATTGTGAAACATAGTACCCCGGTATGTTGCAAAGATCCACTGAGTGAAGACGCAGTCTAAAAGACTGAACCATTGCAACAGGATGTTACATAAACCTCCATGAAAATAGATGGAGAAGAAACAGGAAGACGAGCGAGATAAGGAACAGGGAGGATGTTTGCTGTCAGGGGTGGGCAGGTAAAAAGGAAATGAAAGAAGGCAGGAGACACCAGCAAGAAAAGGAGCAAGGAGAGAATGAGTTGTAGAGGTGAGAGAGAGTTGTTAAAGGTTAAAGTGTTCCTTCATCTAGCAGTTTGTTGATGCCATTACAGATCTTCCTCAGAGAGAGTCTGTACTCCTCTCCGTCCCCATACAGCTCAACCAGGAAATCCCCATTGGCGAAATGGTTGAAAACGTGATCAATGCGCGCATGTGAGCGTGCGGTCAGGTGCCCCTCGACCAGGGCGTGAAGCAGGTCCCTGCACTCCAGCAGGAGCTCCGCCAGAATATTCCTGTCAAATGTATAATCCACCTCGTAAAATGACACCGCCGTCATGGCTGCCTGGTTCATCTTCTTCTTGAAACGCTCCACTGTGTCCAACTCGTCAGGATTGAACTGGTGGTTGCGGTACAAGATGCCAATCTTTAGGGCAATCTTGATCACGTCCTTGATGATCTTGTGTGCTTCTTTTTTGCTCTTGGTGAATTCACGACTTGCTTTGTAAAGCTCATCAAGGATCTCACTACTGGTGTCATCTGTAAGCATGTTAGCCACAGCCATGGTCGCCATCTTGCTTAGGATTTTCTTCTGGGCTTGCATGGCCAAGGACCGGGAGTTAAAGCTCTCCTGTCCTGAAGGAAGAGAAAAAAAAGTTAAGTTAATCCAAAGTTTCACAGCAAAATTAACAGACAATGGGAAAAAACCAACATATTGGTGTAATAAAAGGCAATAGTACATGATACAGCGAGTTCATAAATCTATAAAGTAATTTTCCAGAGCTTATGGACTACATTCTGTAGGTGCTTGTAGGAACCAGGTGGTAACTTGAACTCTGATTAACAATAGCATTCATCTTATAATAAAGCAATACTTAAAATATGCTTCTCTTTCCAATAAATTAAATATTTCTGACCCATAAGTTACTTTCTGGAACTTTACGGGTATACCTTTGGATATATTTGCTAATGTTCTAGAGTTTGTGTGTATTTCTCTGAAATTTTCAGGCAACTTTTGTAGAATTTTTTCTTACTTTAAGAAATTATAGGATCTATTTTCTTTTTTTTTTTTTTTTTTTTTTTACACAACTTAAAGGTTACTTGTGAGGACTGGGTTATATTAGGGGTTGGTAGCTTTTGGAGGCTATGGGTTACTTTCCAAAATAAAATAAGTACTCTATTTAAAGTAAGGTCCCAAAATCACATGCCCAGAAATAATCATGAAGTCTCGGGGACAGTCAGGATCTCTGTTCCAGAAAACAAAATGTTCCTGAACACAAGTCAAATTATCCTTAGAGCAAAAATGATTAAAAAAACAGCTTTAAAAGAAATCTTCTGGGTTATGGGGAAGTAATTCAGGCATACCCAAAGTTGCTCCTAAAGGGCCGCCCTCCTGCAGGTTTTAGAGGTTTCCCTGCTTTTGCACAGCTGATTCTAATGATTGCAGTTCAGCAAAGCCTCTTAATCAGCGATAAATGAAAATTAGCTGTGCTGAAGCAGGAAAACCTCTGAAACCTGCAGGACAGCGGCCCCGAGGACCCACTTTGGGCATGCCTGCTGTAAGTTATACAATGGTATACTCAAGGTCAGTACCCTAAATGGTCAAAGAGAATACCCAAAGTACAGTGAAAGTTTGTTCAATGTACTGAAAAGTATTCTGAGAGTAACAAAAGTATCTTTGTTATATTTTGTGAAGTAATATAAGGCGTTTAGGAATGCATCCTGTTAGTTCTATGTAGGTAGTTTTAAAATCTGTAAAGTACCCTTTATGCAATATTAAATAACCTACAGGTTTGAGGTTCTACATACATGGACACATGTAAACCACTGACAAGCCCTCATATGTGAAATTACCTTGTAAATTCAGGAAAATGACTGCCCCTGAAAATTTCCTTTGTGTTTAAGAAGGAACATCGTAAGTTCTAGAAAGTATTTCATATTCTTGTCCTTTTCTAATCTTCATAGGACTATCACTTTAAAACTTAACGCATTTTCTTGAAACTTTAAACAAAACATATGGTAAATCTTTGTATACAGTACATGTTTGTACTGTGTGGCTTGTGTAATCTTTCTGATCTTCAGTGTGTTTGCATAAAACAGCTGAAATCCATCTGGACTCACTGGCCTTTAAAACTCAGATGACCAATGCAAGAAAAATAAAAAAATCTAGTTTCCAAACATTGCTTAAATTTTCCATTTTCAAGTCCAGATATATATTGCTTTTTCTTATGAAACAATACTAACTTGTATCTATAAATTAACTCTCTTATATTATTGTGACTGGAAGCAGTTATTGTAACTTCAGGAAATATAACTTCAAAACAAAACTATTCTGAATGATCCATTTTTTGCAATGAACAATGGAAAAAATGTCAGATAAACAGCTGTTCACTTCACAGAAAACAAAGCTCCTTTGAATCTAGACAAACTCCCAACACGGAGTATACAAAAAGAGGTGCAGCTGCATTCTGCGGCAGGGCAGTGGCTTTCCTAGCTGGCTGTGGTTTAACACGCTGTCTTTCTGGAGAAATCACCAACAGCTCTGGCTTACATCAAACATCTGTCCTCTGATAAGAGCTATTTTGCGTTCTTTCTTTAACAAGTCCAAAGAAAAGTTCCCAATTTACCCTAACCGCACCACATTTATGAGACAGGCAAAGATGAAAGCTTCCCTTTCACAATGATGCTGGCACAATGGTAGGTGTACATTTTAAGAGGGCCACCCAGCTTTAATTTACACATTAGATAACCTATTTTATGATTAAAGGCAAGGAAAGAGGCTTCATTTTTCTCCTGCTCCCCTGCTCTGGGCCCATCACCAACCACCTCTTCCTCCTCCACACGTTCCTATAAAGGCTTGAAGAGGAGGAAGCCAAGGGATGTCATTGTTGATTAGGCTCTGACACAGTGAGCCCAAATTCATGGAGGAACATTTGCTTTGTTGTCATTACATTACACTTAAACCAGACAGATATTGGACTATTTTAAATTCACCCCATCATCACCTCATTGGGTTATTTGGTATTGAATTGCAAATCCAGAACAGAGGTTGAAGGGTGCCCCACATCAGGGAGAAACCAAATCCATGGCATTTCACATGAATCTAGAGAAGTGGCATTTCATCTGTTGGTCTGAAGCTAAATGACATTTCATGTAATACAATTAGCCCCCCATGACATTTAACAACAAACAATGCTAATTCCTTTGTCTACAGTCTTTCAACTGTCCCCACCCAACCACTCTCTCCAAAAAAGGGGTGCACAGATATCAGTTTGCTCCATCTATACACAAGCAGCTGCATATAAAGAGTTTGTTTTAAAATAAGATTTAGTTAATATGTTGCTATGTGTATCATTCTTACGGTGATGGGGCTAAAATCACATTATTGTATGAGCCACTAAATCGAAGCTTGCTGCTACAGCGACTTAGAAAAGTCTCAATTTAGAACATCTATAAGAAAATGATTAAGATATTTTATTTATGTTTTTATGACCCTTAAATTGTATATAGGCTATATTGACAGTTGTGTAGTCAGAAACTTTAGTTCCATGGTTTTCAGACCTGGGGGATTCTAAAGATGTTTTTTATATTAGTGAGTATTACCATGACTTAAGCTCCTCCAATATGTATACTTTGCCAGTGTTTGTGGATTAACAAGTTTATGAAAAGGTAAAGTCAGAACAGTATTTGGGAAAAGTGTCTCCACAGTAGGTAGCACTGCTGCCTTGCAGCAAGAAAGTTCAAGGTTCGATTCCTGGCCAGGGGTCTTTCTGCAGGAAGTTTTCATATTGTCCCTGTGCATGTGTGGGTTCTCTCCAGTGAGTGTGTGTGTGAATGGTTGTTTGTCCTGTTTGTCTCTGTATTGCCCTGCGATGGACTGGCGACCTGTCAAGGGTGTGCCTGCCTCTCGCCCATTTACAGCTGGAGATAGGCACCAGCACCCTTTGAGAGCCCAGCTGGGATAAGCATAATGGGAAATGGATGGCATGGATGGATGGCATGCCTTTTGAGCTAAAGTGAGTAGAGCTTTACTTCAACATTTCCATATATTTCAATCTGGTGCCGGTGTTATTTGGGAACAAAGCTGAAAAATGGTCTTCATCCCAGATTTCTGATGGGATTCATATTGATTTCAGGGTAAATACATGAATAGCTTTGATGCAATAGAACTCTAGGTAAAAAGTGATGATCAATATCAGTGACAGTTGTGTAGAAGAAGGTTCCATAAAAGAAGGCAATTGTGGGAGTGTCTCCATTCTGTGTAAAGCTGATATTCACTGATAAATCACAGTTCTTACTCAGGTTGCACAGATTAGTGTTGGATTTGAATGTTTTCTGTTTGTCAGATACACAAGCATGTTTGAAGGTGTTAAATATTGTTTGAGGTTCATCAATAAAAAACACTAAACAGCTGTGCTGATACAACGAAGGAGGCTAAGGGGGACAGATGTGTAAATCAATCAACACATGACTGAGAGGAATGCCAACACTGCCAATAAGGCCAGGTCCCTGAAAAAGTAAGAGAAAATCACTGCAAAATGGACGGCAAAGTGCAACATTTCTATTAAGCTGACGAGGCAAAGGTTATGGTCATCAGGAATACAGAGGAACTGGACATATTCACAAGAGTGCCATGCAGAGACAGAAGGTAACATTAACTCACAAGCAGGATGACAAAACCAAAACATACTGACTCTGTGACCGAAGCATATTATCACTAGCTAAAGCCAGGCTTACACTGTGCGATTTTTTGCTCTTATCTGGGCGACTTTCCAGTCGTGCGTGAATTTACCGATTGGGCCGACTTTCAGCCTGATCACGCATCGTGTAGCCTCGAGGTCGCCACAAGGGGCGATCAGCCTGTCACGACCATCTCCCGATCAGGAATTGTGAGGTCGGGAGAAAATTAAACATGTTTCATGGTGGGTAAATGTTAGGTTTAAACACCAAACATTTTATGCAGTAACCTGTACAAATAAGACACAGAGAATTTTAGTATGATTCACTTGCAAGGGAGAGTGATCAGAGACTGTTCAGTTACAATTCTCCAAAACACTCTGAAAAGTCTCCGCTCCACCGAGCTTTTTTATTAAGGAAACGCCCTGGCTACAATGTGGTTCCGACTGCTAAGGGGAGGGGTGAATAAACCAGTCGGAACCAGAAGTCTGCATCACATCATACAGTATCATGAGATAAGAGCTTTCACTCCTTTCTCCAATGTTTCTACGTGCAGTTCCCCGTGTTCTGGCTGCTGACCTTGAGCAGCCAGTTCTCACAATCAGCACTCCCTCCTTCTGCACAGCTTCTGCACAGACTTAAAACATTAGTACAAGTAAAATACTTCAACACTCTTTATGATATAAGTGAAATAAGGATAACAAAATGTGTGAGCATAATAATATGATCAAAGTAATATGATTAAAAGTAGAATAACTTGTACAATTAATCCAACAGTAAATCACTCAGTATCATGCGCAAACAAGGATTCTTCTTATTCTTCTTCTTCTCAGATGAAAACACAGAAGCATGGCGGGGTGTGAGTGAAATGGAGTTCTGTCTGTAAAATTTACAGATTATAGTAGCCACATTTGCTCAGCCATATCTTTGTCCAAATATGTTGCCGCCTTTTCTTCTTA